AAACCCAAGGGAGGTGACAACCTGGGCAGGCTCCTTCCCCTTCAGAGCAGCTGGCCATAAAAGAGGGGTCAGCACAGCACGGGCGTCTGCACATCCCACCCCCTCCACTGCCCTTCCACCCCGGCCCGGCCATCCGCCAGCCCTCGCGTTACAGCTGCAAATCACAGCACCGCACCAGGGGAAACAGCGCGGGCAGCCCGGCCTGCCGCCGGAGGCAGCTGAACAGGCGCTGCAGCAGGTCACTGCATGGGGCCCTGCTAAAAACGGCCTGGAAGGAGCGAGTCAGTCTACCAGCACCCGTCCCAGGCTGGGCTGGCTGAGCTGCCGAGCGAAGAGCCGGCCTGGCGCTGAGCGAGGCTCCCGCGGGCCCCAGCGGGCCGTGGGGGAAGGTGCACAGCTGGCTCCAGGTGGGAAGGGGTTAACCAGCCCTGCCCCAGCACCCCTGAACTGCAGGGCAAGCAAGGAGGGAAGGGTCTTAATAGAGGAGGGCAGAAGGGTGGGCTGGGTGCAGGAGGTGGGCGTGAGGAGTTGCGGTGAGCTGTGGAGGAAAGCCCCTGTCCCAGGGGGTCTGCGAGGCTGGAGAGGTGCTGAGCACCCCGTGGTGGTGCTGTGGCCTGCAGGTGTCCCTGCCTTCAGGCCTAACCCTTGCTGGGACCCTGCTGCGTTGGGGTCTCGCTCCCTGCCCTTGGGGCACGTACCCCTTGCCCTCCCCTGCCCAGGTGCTGTGTTGGGGTTTGTCCCTGCTGCTGCCCTCTCTAGGGTGTCCCTGTAGGAGCTTTCCCTTGCTGTCACCCTCCCCTGGGGTGTCCTCACTCCCCTGGGAGCTGCTGTTTCCCTGCTGGGTGCAGGAGGGACCTTGGGAGGCAGCCAACTTCCTAAACCACAAAAATAGTCTGTCCCTCACCTCTCCTTTTTTTTTTTTTTTTTAACATTTGCTTCCTTTTGAAGGCTGAAGCCAGCAACTTATGGCAACTGAATTGCTGCAACGTGGATCCTGTGACTGCTGTCAGCTGACTGTCACTTGCAGGGCAGCAGGTTCCTGCACGGCTGCTGCTAAATGCGCATCGCTGCACGACGTCGAGGGACAGGCAGGCCCAAGGCCAGGTAGCGCAGGAGCCGGGGGATGCCAGAGATGGGGGATTTTGGTGGCCTGGTGAATAGCGCTGCCGATCCATCTCAGGCTGCAGGGTTACCGCTAGCCTGGAGGTCGGATTAGCGCAGCACGTCTGGCTACGCTGGAGTGAGCGATTTCAAAAGCTGTCATCTTTGAGGCATGGACTGCATCCAGGCAGCTGATCCTGTTAGCTCTTGCCTTGTCTTACACTGAGATCTGGAAACAAGAGGGGTCATAGGAGTTGGGTTCTCCTTGAGGCAAGGCTAGAATAACCCTTGTGGGGACATAGTGCAGATGAAGGACCTGCATGGGACAGAGGGGACTCTAAGAGGCACCAGGTGGCCCAGGAAGGATCACATTTGGCTTGTGCAGCCTATGGCCAACAGCAAACCTGCTGCCTGCAGCGTAGGAGAGATGTCTGGAACTGCCGGCAGGGATGTCGAGTCAGGAGCTTCGCTGTGCAGTTGCTGATGCCTCCTTCTGCTTGGTCAAAGCACTTAACCTCGGATTTGATCTAAGTGTCCGCTCCTCCAGTGAACTGAACAATGTCCAAAGCATCAGTACATCCATGGAAGCGACTGGGGATGTCTTCCTGCTCTGCCCCTCCGCCCTCCCTGTGTGTCCAGATCACTGTGGTCACAAGTGAGCTGGGGATCTTCTCAGCACTGTAGGGGATTTAGCCTTTGGAGAAAAAAAAGAGGAGATCTTGGTTCCCAGCTCTGCCACTGACTCCCTGGGTGCTCTTGGTCAAATCCCTTTGGTCTCTCTAGCTGGAAGAATAACCCTGGATGTGCCTCTGCAGCAAAGAGAGGAGATGATAGCCATGTAGTGGCTCACCTTAACCCCGCAGGCACAGGTACCAGGAAAGGCAGTGGCATAAATCTTGACCTAGTTTGAGTGCTGGCATGTGATTTCCTTCCTGCTGCCTGTTCTGCTGAGCTTGGCAGCCTGTCAGGACAGGGCTGATGGCTGTGATGAGTGATCCATGCTGAGCACAGGGGGCCTCATCCTGCTGTGAGAGTACACCCAAGTACTCGGGTACTCTCGTGACTTGAATGCCAGCAGAATAACTGCTTGGCTGGCCTTGAGTGATCCTCAAAGAAGAGGTGGGGATGGCTCAGATGCTGCAGTGACACAAAAAAACCCACCAGATATGGCGAAGGGAGACAAAACTTTCCACCTCGTGCTTGGGAGGTGCAATGGCAACGTATGGAGGGGGCAATGGTGCATTTGTATCTCCTCTGCATTAAAGATGTGGCGTCTTAATGAGGCTTGGAGAGAAACGTAATGAACACCAACACGTGCCCTACTTGAACGGAAAGAGCCTGGAGACGCTGCAGCTCCTAGCTAAACGTCACAAGTTTCTAAAAGGAGGTATCCTCACAGAGACAACTGCCCTAACAGTGCTGCTGTGCATCCGAACACCGGGCGGCTGGCACATACCAGAGCGTTCCAGCAGCTGGAAGCGGAGAAGGATGCTACTGAATAAGAGACGTACATCCTCCAAGGAGCGCTGGAGAAAACCCACTGTGATCTCCCTCCTCTTCTCCCCTTGTTTCAGGGCTGTGCTGCAATTCTTGGCATGATAGCCAGAAGAAAATAGGCCAGCAGCTGATACGCTTCATCTTGCAGTGCCCTTACATAATGGCTTTCTTAGAAAACTGTCAGGGAAACCTCTCCCTGCAGGGCAAAGAAAATGATGCGGGGCGATCCTGATGAAGGAATTAATACTGTTTGCCTTCCCCAATATAAAGTGCACTTAGTGCTGACCTTTCTAGGCCAAAAAAAATGTGTGAGATGGGGTTTGGGGCAGAAAATTTATTTTCTGGTTAGATAAGTCATTTGGTGCTTGTTCCTTAAGAGAGACTTTGTCTCCAAGTCAGCCCAGAGGATCTGGAAGGACTTGATTTTGCATATTCACCTGAGGATGGATACAGAAACTGGGTCTGGCTTAGCAATGGCTCGTATCTCTCTGGCAGCCTCTCTGAGATCCAAAAGCAAGACGGGGATTGATGGTGACATGCAGACACAAGAGAGATGTGCTAGGATTAAGAGAGGAAAGCCAACGATCGAGGCTGTTCTGCTTGGTTGCTTTTGTAAAAGATGCTAAGTGACGTCTTTCCCTGGGATATTGGTGCTGAGGAGAGTGAGCGAGCAAGCCTAAAGGAAAACAAAGCCTGTGGTTGCATGGAGTACCCTTTGGCAGCCTGGCCACACACGTGGCACCATCTACAGCCTCCCATCTGCACCACGGCTGGGGTGTCTGCTGCACCTGTGCCCCTGCCCCTGGTGGCCTGGGATGCTGGGACAGTGCATGACCCCCAGGCGCTCGTCAGCAGAAGCTGTCCCCTCCCTGCTCTCCCCCTCCAAGTCCTTTAAACTCATCCCGCTTATTCTTAACCCCACTTCTTCCCTGAGAGCCACCAAGAGCTGAAATGGCAGTGAGCTCCCCGGGGAGACTCCAGGCAGGTACCGTGTGCAACAGTACTAGCCTCTCCAAACGTCTCCAGGACTCACCCTGCTCTGCCCCAGAGCAAGCCAAAGGAGGGCCATCTCTCCCGAAGCC